CTTGTATCTAGGCGCAAAGGTATGGTTATCTTGCTTTATTCTGAATATCCATTTGTTAGATAAAGCTCTCTTACCTTTCGGCAATTTCACTAACTCATATGTGCCATTCTCATGGAGTGACTCCATCTCATCTTCCATGGCTTCAATCCACTGATCTTTATGAGTATCTTGCATGGCTTCATCATAATTCTCTGGTTCTCCCATGTCAGTCAAAAGTACATACTCATCAGGAGGATAGCGCATGGATTTTTGCTTCTCCCTTGTAAATCTTCTAAGAGAGGTTTCAGAAGCATTCGAAGTAGTTACCTGAGCAGGAATTGGTTGCTGATCAACCACAACTTCATCAACTGGAGCATCCATAATATCTACACCATGATGATCATTTTGATCTTGATCATTATCTCCATCATTGTTTTGGGTTCCTTCATGTGCAATAGGTGCCTTAGCAATTGAAACTGGATCAATATCAACTAAGCTCTCATTACTCTAAGAATCTATCTTCTCAGCTTTGTCAATATCTTCAATAGTTTGGTCTTCAATGAATATTGCATCATGACTTCTAATAAGTTTATTGTCAACTGGATCATAAAAATGATACCCAAACTCATCTTGACCATAACCGATAAAGATGCACTGCTTAGTTTTGACATCCAGTTTTGATCTCTCATATTTAGGAATATGCACACAAGCTTTACACCCAAAAACTCTCAGGTGATCATAAGAAACATCTTTGGCAAACCAAACTCTATCTGGAGATAACATAGGCAACAGTGTTAAGTGCTTCCGCCCCAAATGTATTTGGAAGTTTAGCCTATAAAAGCAAGCATCTAACTCTCTCAACTAGAGTTCTATTCATCCTCTCTGCCAAACCATTCAATTGAGGCGTCTTGGGCGGAGTTTTCTGATGACGAATTCCTTGTTCCTTGCAATAGTTATCAAAGGGACCACAATATTCACCACCATTGTCAGTGCGAATACATTTTAATTTCTTCCCCGTCTGTCTCTCAGCTAAGGCATGAAATTCCTTAAACACGCCAAGTGTTTGACCTTTAGATTTCAAAGGATACACCTAGAGCTTACGAGAATGATCATCAATGAAGGTCATAAAGTAAAGTGCACCACCTTTTGACTTTACCTTAAAAGGACCACACAAATCAGAGTGTACTAGCTCCAATAAATCGGGCTTTCTTAAGGGAGGATGGCTATGAAAGGAAACCCTTTTCTGTTTGCCAGCTAAACAATGTATACACCTTTTCATCTTTGCTTGTTTCACTCCAGAAAGCAAACTTTTCTTAGCTAAACAAGTAATCCCACTCTCACTCATATGACTCAATCTTCGATGCCACAGTTCTGATAAAGCATCACTTTACCAGATTTATGGAGTCATTAAGAATAGAGCCATGTGTCACATATAAATGACCAGACTTGACTCCTAGAACCACTACTAACGAGCCCTTAGTGAGCTTCCATTGGCCATTAAAGAGGGCATTATGGTAACCTTCATCGTCTAATCTTCCTGCGGAGATCAAATTGAAAGGAAAGTCTGGAGCATACTTGACATCTTGAAGAACTAACGTTGAACCATTATTAGTTTTCAAACAAATTGTGCCAACACCAAACACCTTAGCTTCACTGGCATTGCCCATCTTTAACACTCCATAATCAACAGGAGTACAAGATGAGAAAAAATCTTTTCTTGGTATTACATGTGAGGTAACTCAAGAATCTACTATCCAGCTCGTCTCATGGGATACCAAATTGATGACGTTTTCATCATAAGCAAATAGAAGGTCATCTCGAACAATAGCAGCAACATTGTTCTCGTTATTTTTCAACTTTCTTTCCTTCTCTAATGTCTTGCAACAACTTTCAGCAAAACCTTTTGATATGTCCCTTCTTGCCACAGTAGTTGCATGTAATATTATGGTATTTGGACCTTGACTTACTTCTACTTTTACCTCTATTCCACGAGCCTCTTGTTCTATCTCTCCACCGGTCTTCTGTAACCAAGATATCTGCTTGTGAGGACGAACCCTAAGATTTTCTCCTTACTTCCTTGTTCAATACACAACTCTTGGCATATTCCATAGTCACCTTACCTCCAGGAGCTGAATTTGTCAAAGAAATACGAAGAGTTTCCCAAGAGTCTGGTAAAGTGTTAAGAAGCCAAAGTCCTTGTATCTCATCATCAAAATTAACTCCCATTCCAGACAGCTGATCAAGGACGCCCTGAAAATCATTTATGTGACCAAGGATAGGGTTGCCTTCTTTGTATTTAAAGGTCATCAATTGCTTTAGCAGGAACAAGTTGTTGTTCCCAGTTTTTGAAGCATAAAGAGTCTCTAGCTTTTCCCACAATGATCTCTCATGTGTCTCGTTCACAATATTGTTGCGAACATTATCTTCAACCCATTGTCGTATATATCCACATACTTGTTGGTGCTCGAAATCCCAATCTTCATCGAATATACTCTCGGGTTTATGAGCTGATAAAACGGGTAGATGCATTTGCTTCACGAACAACAAGTCTTTCATCTTGCTTCTCCAAACATTATAATTTTTCCCATTTAAATATACCATCTTGATTATATTTACCTCCATTCCGTAATAACCCAGATAAATAACCAAGGCTCTGATACCATCGTTATGTCGCGGAAGAGGCAAACCCTAAAATAACGAAGATAAAGAACACCAAATTTTAACGTGGAAACCCCTTCAAATCGAAAGTAAAACCACGAGATCACAAAGATCCAAAAAGCTCCACTATAACAATAAGAGGGTTACAAAAGTTCTCCAAATTGGCTACACAACAAGTGCCAAACACGGAGCAACAATAGCAACAAGAGCAACAACTAATCAATTGAAGAAAGAGGAGAATCCACAAAAATAAAGTTGCTGTTCGAGGCTCGAAATCAGATGCTACGAGACTCCTAATCCGATCTCCACCATTCAACTCAAAGATCAAGATGTTATGAATACTCAGTCAAAATTTCAGCCCGATCCAACTGTTAACGAATCGAAAAATGTGATTTGAAGTTGGCTGGTCGAAATAAAAATCTACAGCAAAACAAATACTTTTCTTCTCTTTCTCTCTTGACGAAAGCTCTCTCAAAAACCACTCTTATGTGCTTAAGTCTTTAAAAGACTTGTATCAATAAGTATGGAATGATTATCCAAGCTTGTCCTATTTATAGATCATGAGTGGTGCTTTCTCTTAAAGCCAAAACCCACTCAACATAGAAATAAACACCGAATCCAATTCCGAATAGGAATGGAAACCAAAAGAGAATATGATTAGGCCGTTGGGCCTTTGGCTGGACAACATGGGCATGTGCCCAACACAAAGTTGTCGGTATTTGTGCCGGCGAGAGTAGCAGGCATCGCAAGAGGCAGTGCAATATTTCAACTTTATGATTTCTGACTATAACTTTAAATGTTAATAATTGAGTTTTAAATTTAACTACATATTTAATAAAATTTTCAATACAAATATATCTTTTGAGTAAAAATTACTAGGTTAGGCCGAACACATACCTGGGTTTAGAGGTGGACCTATGCTATACAGAGAGGGGTCACAGACACCGTTAAAGTTCGGCAAAAACTCCATGTATATATGTATATGTCTTTAGAAAATAGTAACACATTAATAGTGGGCACCCTATATATAGGAGCGGATTTAGGGGGGCGGAATGGGGTTCACCCAAACCCCCTTTGCCGAAAAATTACACTATATATATAAGGCAAAATCTGTTTTTTACCTCTATATATTATGTTTTGAATTCCCTTTGTACAATCCAAAAGTATAGCTCAGTGGTCAAGTCCAAAGCCTTTGTAAGGTCATTAGGTCCATTCCCACTAGCTACAACGTTTTTTAACTTTTTCTTTAAAACTCCCTTAGTAGAAATCCTACCTCCGCCACTGCCTATATACAAAGCAGATTTTGGTTGAATCCAAAAGTACACCCTTGACCTTCAAATCCCGAGTCCGACTCTGGCCGGGCTTCTAACTCTGCCGCTAGTCAAGACAGTTTTTTTTTTTTTTAAAACTCCCTTAGTAGAAATCCTGCCTCCGCCACTACCTATATACAAAACAGATTTTGGTTGAATCCAAAAGTGCACCCCTGACCTTCGAATCCTGGGTCCGACTCTGGCCGGACTTCTAACTCTGCCCTTAGTCAAGACAGTTTAAAAAAAAAAGATTTACTACGAACTAAAGGAAAAAACATTAAGATGAACAGTTGGGATTATAATAGTCTAGATCGCTTAGATGTCTTTAATCAACTGTAGTACTGCAAAACTGTCTACGTACCCTATAAGTATAAGTTCTACGTAAGGTACGTTTCAATCCTTTAACCAAAAATCACATTATATACTCATGTATGAAAGTAACCTCATGGTTACTAATTACGAAGACAACATCAATTGCATCCCATATGGTCCCATGTTGCCAAATTTGTTTAACAGGGCTTTCTCATTTTCAGAAACTAAGGAAAAACCAACCTTAACTAGAAACAAAGTACTATAAAGATGCAGAAACGGAGACATTAAAGGAAGAGGAATCAAGAATTGATCTAAGACTAGTTTTAGAAATTTTGAATGAGATCTGATTTATTAGTCTTAATGACCCGATCAGAAAGATAATCTTGAAAGGTTGTCTAATCCCCACTACCATAAATCACATTAATTCAAATCAACTAAAAGCATTACGTGCATGATACAACTGATTTACAATACATGACTCGTAAAAAATTATAAATTTAACAACTAAAAAAACTAGAATTAGCTACGAACTTCGTCGTTAATCTATCGCTAAATCACTTGTGCTAAGGAAATTTTTTGATAATTTGTCGCTAAGTAAGATTAGCAACAAATTTTTCTGTTTAACTAGAAATTTTGTCCGTAGCTAATTCTTATTTTTTTAGTAGGGAAGTAGCTAGCTAGCTAGCTTAATTAGTTATTACCATCTCCTCAACGCTAGCTGCAATTAGTGGCGGATTTAGAGAAGACGCAGTAGGTCATCTTATATATAAATATGAAAAGAAATAACAATAAATAAATTACAGAATTTGGTGATTCTAAATTCTGAATCGTGCACTAAAAACAATATTATGAGTGCATAATTAAGAGTCATGTTGACTCATGATCATGCATGCCAGATCAACAATAAATTAAATCAAGAAGAGAAGCCATTAATCCAAAGTTCCAAATCGTTGTGTTGCGTCTCTTCTGCGAACAATGTTGTTTGACTATAATTCGAAGGGAAATAGCTCCTTTCCTTTTCGTTTTTGCTGCAACTATCTCCAACAGTAGTTGTATTCTCCAAGTTTTCACATATATCAGGTGCATTTAGAAGCTCAGAAAGAAAAGGATCGTCCATATCAAAACCAAACATGAAATTAAAGTTATAATTTTCCAGTTCTTCAGAGAAAGTAGGTGTTGATCCTGATATTGGTTGTTGTTGCTCGGACAAAGATGATACTGACGATGATGAGGATGCTACAATAGTAGTTGCATTTTCTATTTCCAAATCTTCCGCCATTACCTTGTCATCGTTATCATTATCAAGAATTGAGTTGTCAACATGAAAGCGTTGAGTATTAATCCTGGTGCAAGGTGGGAAGACTGAGTGAGAATTACTAGCCCTTTGATTGTGAGATTGATCAACATTTAGTGGCTCAGCAACTGAACTAGTAGTAGGAGGAGGACTAATAAAAACTTGAGTGCACCTAATTGCCTTTGTGCGGACGACCAAACACGGGGATGAAGAAGACGATGATCCTCCAAGTCCAACGTCTGTTAGCAAATACTGTGAATCCTGAGGATCTGTGTGTTCGTGATTATTTTTGTTTAGTTGGGTAACTGGGCCGGACTTGGATGATTTGACATGACTAGAACCTGGGCGCTGACGATTAATGGAAGATGTTATGCAGTTTGGCTGTCCAAGAGAAACTCCTTGTTGTAGTTTTTTGCCGATGTTGGTGTTCCAGTAGTTCTTGATTTCATTGTCTGTTCGTCCCGGTAGCCTTCCAGCTATCAGAGACCATCTGCACCAATTCATATATTATATCACACCCAATGAAAAACGCAATATAATGTGTTTATGTATATTCCTTATTCCTTTATTTATATGTTTCTGGATGAGACGGATCTGAGATTTCGGAGTAAATGAGTATAAAATATCGAAAATATTGTAGCTATATAGGAGCAAAGGAATAACCTGTTTCCAAGAAGTTTATGAAGTCTGATAATGAGATCTTCTTCATCTGGAGATATATTTCCTCTCTTAATATCTGGCCTTAGATAGTTTAGCCACCTTAATCTGCAACTCTTTCCACATCTTTTAAGACCTGTTATTTATACAAAAACTCAAAACAAATATTACTATAGTAATAATGTCCATATACAAAACAAAAAAACAAAAATTAAAATAAATAAATAGATAAAGTAAAGCTCACCAGCTCTTTTGGGAAGATTTCTCCATTTTCCTTCACCATTAACTTTGATGTAATCTATTAAAATTTTATCCTCCATAGGAGTCCATGCTCCTTTGTTTAATCCTTCTTTAGAACAACAAGGTTTTCTGCCCATAATTTCTATGCGATAAGTTAGAATAATATTGTATACTGTTTCTGTTGTTTGTCTCTGGGATTTGGCAATGGTCTAGTTTCAATATGCATATACTTATAGTATGTCAATTCAACATCCACACTCCCCACCCCCCCCCCACACCCACCTGGGGAGGAGGGGTAGGCAAAAATTGGAATTGGAGTTACGTTGTACCCCCCCCCCCCAAAATATCATTATCTTATTAAATGAAATGCAGATACACAAGGTGACAAATATTTCTTCAGTTTACCTGTACTATTGGGACCATGTTTTCCCTCTCATATTCCCTTTTTCCTGAAATTTAAGATCTTTAATATTTTTCTTCTTCCTTTATAAAAAAGTTAACACATTTTAATTTACAGTAGCAATATAATGTACACTGTTTAGTTTTTGACTCAATCAATCAACTATGGACAAAGTCAATTAATTTTGTGGGGTAGTCCCGTGCACTAAGCTCCCCCTATGCGTGGGGTCTCGGAAAGGACTCGACCACAATGGTCTATTGTATATAGTCTTACCTTGCATTTCTACAAGAGACTGTTTTCACAGCTCGAACAAGTCATGACCTCCTGGTCATATGGAAACAATTTTACCAGTTGCGCCAAGGCTTCCCTCCAAAGTCAATTATTTTTGTAGCCTTTTACAAATTTACTTTTAGTTTTATGTCCTTCTTAGATTTATATATGTATAATCTATTTCATTTAATTTATCAAACTCATTCAACATACAAAAATTTATCATAATTTGATTATTTCTAAATTGATCGTCAATTTTCAACACCTCAATTTGTAACTAGTCGGAAACAATTATGTGAATAATTTATTTCGCTTTATTGAAGCTCATTCAATATATTCAAAGAATTCATCATCGTTTGATTATTTTTAAATTAATAATCAACCTACTGCAATCCTTCTCTTTTTATTCAAACTTAATTAAATGGAACCGATTATATACTTGCAATTAAAAGTTAAAAAGTCACATGATTAGCTATGCTTTACATTTTTATTCTGGTTATAACCAAAGATCCAACAAGAAATATGTACCATTGATTATTTATGATCGTCCAAAGAGGACCAAATGCAATATATCTGTCCAATGTTTGACAACCTGGCAAGTTTGTTGCAGATGGTTACTGAAACCCACAATTAATCAATGATGATAAGAAAAAAAATTAAAACATTAATCTAATTTTACGTTATTAGCTAGATCCCACCAGTTTTCTTAACTGTCAACTGGTAAAAATAGCAGCATTAATTGTCAATATAATTGTATAGTATTACCCTTTTCCAAGTCATTACACCTGGAAAAAGTTAAACCTAAAAGAGAAATATTACTTTGGGAGAGATTTTGGAATTTGACATTCAGTGTTTTTATGAGAAGAAACTGCAATTTAAATCATTTTTGTGTTCTCATGCAACATAAAAAGCGGAAGAAAAAGTAAATGTTACAAGAAAATATGAGAAATACGAAAGACAAAAAGACTCGTACAATAATTGTCAACTACATAATCAAAAAAGTCTTTGAAATTGTCAACTACATAATCAGTAACGGAATTTTAAGATACATTCTAATGCTAGTGATCTGAAATAAATTGAAAATAAGAGCATAACGTTTTGTTTACAATGATGATACTTTGTGCGTATTTGGACTATTACATTATATATAGTACTGATGAAAAATAAGGATTGGAAATGAGTATAATTGAACTATGAGCCTAAGCCCGAAGAACATTAATGGTAGCTAATTAAACAGGAATCTCCGAGATTTTAGCTAAGAAGAAATAGAAATGAGGAGAAGAGTTTGATGTTATTTTCTGAATGAATCCAATTAGTATGATTTATAGAACAAAATAGCTCAAAATGATTCTCCAAACGATTACAGTTATAACTAAATAACTCCAAGTAACTCCTAACTAACTTGTCACGTCAGCTTGCCAATTCAGCTCTTCTCTAAAATACCCATATATCGCTAAAGAACACCCTTGACCTCATCTCTGTTGTAAATCACAAGTATATAGCCTGATAATCATCAATGGCAGTCCATTTCACAAGAACCTGGCAAACAGTTTTGTTGCGTCGTTTAACCAATCTCCTGTTCAGTATAGCTTCAGGCATAGGACAATATGGGTTAATGATATCTGGAATCTCCAAACACCTTTTGCATTGAGAAACATGGAAGCTAGGGTGAATTAAGACATCATATCAGTACTAGGGAGTAACAATGTGTAGGTTAACTGCACAAAGTACGTGGCTGCTAATTTGTTGAATGGTCTGGTGGCTATAGATACTTGCCTATAAGGTCAAGTTACAACCCAATCAATCACCTACTTCAAAACTCCTGTCAGATCTATGTTTGTTGAATGATAGCTTCTCGAGCAGCTAGAGTTCTATCCACCATCTCATTAGCAGCTTCACCTGCCAGATAAGGAAGATGGATTGCTGGTTTCTCACCAAACAAAACCTCATATGGAGGCAGTAATACCACCACTCAGCAACGGGTTAATAAATATGAGGATCATTTATTGGGACTATCTGAACAAAAATATCTTAATGGTAGGCTGTTGATCTTTGTAACTGAACGAACAATTCCTTCCAAAAAGTACTGAGAAATACTGGATCTCTATCATTTGTCATGCCTCCTTTTTTTCGAGGGGATATATATGGAGTTTTTTCAATTAAAGTGATATTATTCGAAATAGGATTATTTATTTTATTAGAGTCACCACTTGAAATAATTTATGGTGTCCCAAGTCACCGTTTATTTTAAAATCCCAAATCGAGGAAATTTGACTCTTATTTATGGTCGCCGAACACAGAAGACCGGGCCCGGGAGAAGGTGTGAGGCACTCCCGAATTCCGTGGTTATAGCACGGTCGCTCAACTATTAATAATTGGCTTAATTATCTAATTTATATGTTTGAAACCTATTGAGCGTTTTTACCTTTCTAACCACTTTTATTTATGTATGGAATGTGTTTGAACAAGTCATGATGTACCTCACTTGTTTGCTTTTGTACACATTGCGAATCACGTCACGTGAATCGTATCCGCGATCTACAACATATTTACTTTTATTATTGTTTGAAGTTATGGTCGAGTCACGTGAAACACACACTCAAATTGGGGATTACGTATCATGACTATACCACGGAAACCGTACCCATAGTCACGATAATTATTAATAATTGCGCCTAATGCAAGCTATGATGTTCAAATTTGTTTATTTGTTTTCTAAGTTCAAGGCTATTGAAGGTCATGTATTGTGAACGATGTGGTTGTGGAAAAATTATACTTTTAACAAATTTTCTTTTTCTTTTATTGTCTTTGCTATTTGTTTAACTTATTCTTTGTTTTTATGAGAATAATAACAGGAGTAATTCTTAGTCAAACTATTGAGTGCTTAACATAGTGATTAACCTCGGAGTATATTTTCTCGATGAATATTATATTTTCTAGCACCAAATACCTAAGAGTAACTTACCAGAATATATCCTTCGTCCTACCAAACACACCTTAGTGGAAAAATTTTCTTTCAAAAAATATTTTTCATATTTTAATATAATCAAACACTTAAAACAATTTCTTTGAATTTTTTTCCTTGTACCAAATTTCATGCTTTTATTACATTTGACTGCTCGGTCAAAAATACATTTGGGGACTAGTATTATTTTGTATGGTGGTATACTGTGTAAAAAATTCAATTGTTTTTAATTTTTCACCGATATTTTTTTACTGATTGCAACTAATTCGGATTTACACTTATTAGAATGGAATTTTACTTTCTTATATATGAAACTATATTACCCTCCCTACTCGAGTTTTACTATAATTACATTTTATATACCCAATTACCATTTATGTACATTTTAAGAGAATTAATGATAATAATTAGTGTCCTAAAATCAGTCTAACATATCTTCCACTCCCCCACGTTTCTCTCTCCACCCACACCCTCCCCACGTTTCTTGCACAAGAGAGCAGCAATTCCACCATTGACAACCATTAAAATGCTTTGAAGCTTTGAATTCGAATTTGGATTTTCAAAAAGATTGTTTGTTTGGGTTGGATGTTGTTGCAAAGAATTGAGAATTCTCTCTACGTCTCTCTCTATCTCTCAATCCCAAATTTCAGTGTAAAGCAAAGGAAAAGAGAGCAGCAATTCCACCATTGACAGTCATTAAAAAGCTTTGAAGCTTTGAATTCGAATTTGGATTTTCAAAAATCATTATTTATTTGGATTGGGTGTTGTTGCAAATAATTGGGAATATGGTTTGGAGTTTATATCTCAATTTTGAGGGATTTTGGTGAAGATTAGACTTGGTTTTGACTGAATTTCAGATTAAAACTCGAAGAAGAAGAAGACATGACATACATTATACTGCAGAAATTTTAGTAAAATTGTAGAAAAATAGTAGAAACATTGTATTCTGTTGTTTATATATTTTTCTTTTATTATTTAACTATTGTATGAAAGTTGAACAACATTGTATAAAAATTATATTTAAGTTGTATGATATTGTAGTTGTATATAACTGAGCAGAAATAATGTATGAAAATTGTAGATAAAGTGTATAACATATAATCAGTTGTATGAAATTTGTTTTTACTATGTATAAATTAGATACAAAATATATAAAAGACATATTGTATAAAATTTATATAAAAATTGTATTTAAGTAGTATTATATTGTAGTTGTATATAACTGGGAGGTGAGAGAGGCTTTGGCAAAGGTTTCTTCGTCGACGTACACTGCTTTCTTCACGAGTAGCTTCTGGAGAGAATCCAGATTCGACGCCATCTCCGATAGATTTCCGATCGCAGCGCTCCATCTCTCACTCCCCACGCCATCTCCAAAAGTATGATTGAAACCTATGGTCGATTTTTTTTGTCTTCCCCTTATCTTTTCAAATGCTCAGCTTGATTTTAAAGGATTGCATTTTTATGGTAGCTTCCTTTTGATAAATACAGTGGTCAGCGACATTGTAAAAAAGAAAATAAGAAAAAGCTAATAAGGAAAAGAACATCTTTTTGCTGGCTTGTTATTTCTTCCTTTGATTATTTCTTTAATTTGTTGGTATTTTTTTGCGATGTTGCTTGATGGAAACGAGTCTACAAAGAGTTAAGCTTTCCAAAATTATAATAGTGAAGAGAAAAAGTAGTCAAGATATTTTAAGGCGGAGGAAAAATATGGAAAGAGAAGAGAAAAAAAAAAAAGAAAAAGGGTGTAACTAAATCCCTTAATTGAAGGTGAAATGTATATATTTTGTAAACAAAATTTGTATAGATAAGGTAATTTACTAAACATAAACATTTAGGCTAATAAAGTTTCCAATAGTGTATAGGAATGATTTGAATTTTTTACTCAAACTTGAACCCGAGAGAGAAGACCGCAGCCTGCGAACACACGATTGGGGTAATCCAGCTCTTCATACTCTTGTCAATTCGCCTGTAAAGAATGTGCTACAATTTTAAGGTAATCCTCTCCCCGCTCTTCCTCAAACATTTGTCGGATATTTTCCAGTTATATTTCTGGGGGTTATGCACGCGTTTTCTTATTGTATGAATCTGTGTTGAATTTTCTGATTCAGTGATTTCTGGCCTTCCCCTACATGTTCATCTTATTTTGACGAAAAAATATATTCCTTGTCTTGTCCTATATGAATTGGGTATAAGAGGTATGTAAAGGTTTATTTCATTCATTGCTTTAAACCTTTGAATTGTATGTTCAAATTCTTTCAACTCTCACTAGCCAACCTCATTATGAAATGTGAGCCGTATATTACCACTGAGGGTAAGATATAATAAGATAATTAGTGTTTCAACTAAGCATTTTAGACAAGGCGGTCACATAATTAACTCCAAATAAAGTATTGTGAATCGTTTACTATTTAGAGCTGTTCTTGGGTAGCTTTTGATTTAGAAGAATTAACCTAAATAGCCGCTCACATAACTACTTAAACCAAAAATAGTTGGGGATGTATAATATATGTATATAACCGTGTTTAATCTATGTATACCGGCTAGGAAAAGTAAACAGTGAATTCAACTAACTATTTGTGTAAAGATCCCTTTATTTTATCACCCTGAACTAGAAATGTTGCTGTTCCGGAAACTAGAAGTTCGTCTGTCCCAACTTCTGGTCATACTTCCGGTTTTAGTCTGTCTAAAAAAGAATATCATACTTCCTCATTTTTAAAAAATTTAACATTAATATTCCTACTTTACCCTTAATGGAATGATTTACAGCCACACAACTATCTGTGATTTGTTTTATACCATAAGTTTCAAAAGTCGTCTTTTCTTTTTTAAACTCTGTGTCGAATCAAACAATGCCACATACATTGTGATGGGTGGAGTAACTTTTTGGTCTAAGATAACTTTATGTTTCTATGTGCAGCATTTGAGAGCTGTTGCTGATTTTATTCAGTGATAATTGAAATGGACGATGATATATTCTCGTGCATTGGGAATGGAATTCAAGTAGACCGCAAAGTACTTCAAACATTGCAAAAGAATTTTGGATCAAAACAGGTTGTTAATCAACGAGATCAACCAAAACCATGAGTCTACAATCCCAGATAACTTGACTCGAAACGTGGCTCTAATTAGAGAGCTAAATAACAATATTAGAAGAGTTGTTGATCTCTCCAGTTCTGTGACTATATCTATGGAGGGTTTCTCCGAAGGTGAATCAACAAATGCTAATCAATCAGATGGAAGAGGCGGTCAGAAGAGAATTATGTCCAGTTGACTGATCATGTTGGTGTTCAGCTCTATCTCTTGATTGTTTCTCAGGCAATCAGCTTTCTCTCTATAACTCGGTTTGAGTAGAATGGAATTGATACAGAAGATTCTTGTAGCTGACCCTATTGTTTCTCTGTGTAGGTGAAAAACCCGTTGATCGTGGCATCAGTTCTAGGCTAATGGCCGTGACATTTTGAAACTAATACTCTGTGGTTAAGTGCTCCATTGTAGCTTTTTCTATCTGCTATGGAACTTGATTTGTAGTTTTCTCCTTGTATATCTATGTAGTAAAGTTTCTAATTTTGTATTTCAGTTAAATCTGTCATCTTTTCTTTAGCTATGGGTCTATCGGAAACAGTCTCTCTGCCCTTTCAGGGTTAGGGTAAGGCTGCGTACATTCTACTCTTACCAAACCTCACTTGTGGGAATCCACTGGGTTGTTGTTGTTGTAGTAGTTAAATCTGGTTCTTAACCTTTTGTGTGATAATAGAATTTACGGTTCATGGGATGATAAGAATTTACTCCTCGCCACGACCTTTTCCTGCTTCTGTAGTTCTTCTTTAGAACTGGTCAAGGGACTTCTGATGCCCATTTTAGCATAGGTTACGCGCAGAACATCATCAATGTGCATATCAGAAACCATGGGAAGGTGAATTGAAAATTTCAACTTCATTATATTATGATGAATTCTCTCAAACATGATGATGTGTAGATTGTAATTAAGAAAAAAGAATGTACCAATTTTGGATCCAAACAAACTACAGCTCCGATTTCTCTATCAAGGTTGCAAAGCACTCTTTCCAATCCATGACCTTGTCCTCACCATTGATCACCTGATATTCGACGTACTGAGATGTTAGCTAGTATTTAACAGCAAGACTAATGGAAAAAGGAAGTGCATTGACAACAAATTAGGTCAGATATATCAGATGGCACAGCAGGAAAATATTCCATTATGGCGATCGCATCTCTGAGCATCAAAGCATAGTGTGAGATTTAAGGCAAAAACTAAAAATGTGAGCTCTTTTTCCAATAGACGTGATCCAATTGACTTTGCAGTGGATTGACTACTTTTTCCAATAGAACTGATCAACATTGGATGATTGCTGTTAGCAGAACAGCATTAGCATCGGTAGAGGTGACAATTTAAGCTCAAACTCATTCAATCCGCCCAAGGTTGGGCCACTCATTGATCCGCCCATTGTTGAACTCAATCCATCTTTACCCAGCCCATCTAAAGTTTGGTTGTTTAGCCCAAATTGATTCATGAGCAACTTTGCTAAAATATCTTTATAATAATTGTTTTTTTTATTTGATATGTTATATATGATGATAACAAAAGAAAAAAAAAATAAGAAGTCTTATTTGGTAATTAAACAATTCATAAGAAAATAACACCCAAAAATTAAAGCTTGGTAAGAGTGGGGCGAGTTAGGTTATAACTGAATGTTAGCCCACCTTGACATAACCCATCTCAGTCATCCGCCCATTTTGACCCGCCCAAAATGACCATATGACACCCTTAAGCATCAGCTAATACCAGCTCAAAGACCTGTAGCAGCACAATTATGTAGCTTTCAGGTTTATATGCTTTTCCTACATTTTTAAGTGTGCATGCTTTCAAGGATAAGGAGTTCCTTTTTCTTTTCGTAATATGGTAAATGTCATACCACTAACTCTTCTTCCGCAGTGTCCAACAATGGAATTTTTACTCTACCCCCTCGGTGACACGAATTAACCCCTAACCCCATGATTGGAGGTGGAGGATCCTCTCCACGAGGACAACCCTCTCTAGCCGTCAAGAGTAGAGATATAAGTCACTGACCTACCTAAAACATTTATTTAATGGGAAGCTACAGTGTTTTAGAATATTAAAGGCCACTCAAGTAGCATGACTCAAACAAACCTCAAATGTCAGTCCTTTCTGCGGCACAGTGTCAAGGGCCTCTACACAGATGAAAGCAGCATCCTCCTTGCTCAGCTTTCCTTGTGATGCACAGCCCTAAAATGAAGAACGTCACTAGTTGATTTAACAAACCACCCTCCTTGAGAATGACTTTAAGTGCATGAAAATAGCAAGCCAAATTACTCGGAAATATAGGAGACCATTCACTGAAAACATACTCAACCTATTCTGTCATACATTACATTCAAGGAATTCCAATGGTCTATTCTTATTTTCTCTAGTACCAGAACTGAAGACATCTCAAGTGCGAAGTATCTCCTATAAATGGTGGTAACTGGCTACTATCGCTATTCAGGAGTCACTAGCAAAACTTTAGCTATCAGATCATCATCTGTCTATCAGGTCCAGAGATCCTTCTTCATGAGCACAGTACTTCGTGTTTGAAGGAAATTATAAACTAAAGGTAGAATTAAACAACTTCAAGTGGACAAATATTGTACCGAGTAGCAAGGGCATGGAATTTTCTTGACATGAACAATGAAAACTGGTATTCTCTTCGATTTGTGATTAATTTTGATTTTCTTTGCGCAAAAAGAAAAGAAGAATTTAGAGTTCATTTGCTGGTGAATTTGACACCATCTACCTAATAAAGAAGCTACACATACAACGATTACCTCTTTAAAGTTAAAACCTTGATTTCCACCCGGTGCATTTACTAATAAGCCCGCTCTAATAATGGTGTAAGGGACTCCCGAAGCCATAACCAGTGATTCATCTTGTTCTGCCAGTTTCCTTGCATTGGCAGTAACAATTGCTTGAACTCCACTAGAACCTCTATAAACAGATAGCTGCAATGTCATCGTACCATAAAATCAAAACATAAACCACTGCGAACTTGCCATTACCTAGACATATATGAGAGAAGATCACCTGTGATAACAGGATCACATGTTGTAAACCTTTCCAACTCTCTATATTTGATATAAAACCTTCCTACAAATGCAGCTTTAGACATAAGAAAGCTTCTAAGCTAATATTTGTGCATACAGAAAGAAAGTAGATAAATAAGTTAAGAAGAATAAGAGGGAACAAAAATTACAAGATAAATCCAACACCAGAAGCATATGCGAGTGGACACATAGATCTGTATGCAAGATTTAAATGCTACTCATTATGTGTCTGTAAAAGTTTTTTTGGTGGGGATCATACGTCATAGCAAAATATGATAGTGGAGATGATAAGAACGAGCATACATTTGGGCATATCACAGCACGAACACCCCTTAGAGCCTTCTTTAGCAATGACCTGTCTTTTGCATCACCTGCTATTGGCTTCATAACAGCTTAGGAACATTAAGTATTTACCAAGTCTATAATACTACAAAATGCATCAAGATGCCACCAACCTCAACATAAGTACCAAAAGCTTCCATGGCAACCCGCTTATCCTTTACCAGAGCTTTGATCCGAGTTCTTTTGATTATCAAAGCCAATATAACCATCTGTCCAAGACCATGTATAAGTAAAGTTGATATCAGATGAGACTGATTAGAGATTGAGAAATATGCTGAATCATTGAGGGGGAGAATTGTTAAAGAATACTGAGCTATTGCAAAGTCATTCCAGTGGACTTAGGTGAGGTAAGATGAATTATGTCCACTGCTTGCACAGAGGGGCAGAGGTAGCATATAAGCTACGGGTTCGGCCGAACCCAGTAGCTTTTCGCTCGGACCTCCTAATATGTGTAAGTAATTTACTAAATATGTACAAATATTAAATTTTGAATCTATGTTGCTCAGACTCCCCGAAAATGTCCGTGTTGGATCCTCCAAAAGTAGTGCATTTTTAGAGGATCCAACATGGGTGCGACAGCATTTTGGAGAGCTCGCACAACATTTTCGAACCCAATAGCTTTTTGCTCGAACCTGTATATGTGTAAAAGATTTACTAAATATGTACAGATATTAAATTTCGAACTCACTAATTAAAATAGTATGTGAATTTAATGGTATTTCGAACCCATGAACTTCAACGCTCCGCCTCTGCTTGCACATTGCATATTGTAAACAAGATACTTACGCAGTTGTATTGCAAGGTATATGATACTACCATATACAAACCTGACCAATCTCATTATCTCCATCGGTAACTAAAACTGCATCCCTGACTTCATCTTCTTCTGTTGTTGGAAACAAGAAAAAAAGAACACATAGGTCATTTGATATTTTACAGAAGGAATCACATGGAAAATACTACTACTAAATTCAGCTACCAGTAGACTCATTTTCTTCAGAAGTCGATCCATCTTTTGGAAGGAGGTCAGGTGCCCCATACCATTTCCTCAACTTCGGACCCCCTGAAATCAACGGCATACATGAAGGAGAATGTCAATGATAAAGGAAATCTTGTTTGATCAGCATACTTTTGAGATGGACTAGATTACATCATATCATAACATAATTTTAGTGGGAAGGATTGGCGTAATAAACATTTAAACTCCCCCGGTTTTAACTCCTCTCCTTTTTCGCACTGAAATCATGAATGTATATGATACTAGTGATATTTACAGTCTTGTAGCAAAACCCAATACATGAAAGAATAGAGCTTCTCGCAGCTAGAGGTAGATCCAGAATATAAACGCAATGGTTGCACCCCTTTAATCTTTATAGAACTTTCTTTGGGTTTTTGTATATAAAGTGGATGCATGTGCACCCACTGCTTATATCCTAAGTGCATCCACCGCTGATATGCTTGACCTTCATCTGCACTCAGCTTGAATTTCTACCTCTGGCTTAACATAAATTGCTACTACAACATCAATCAGCTAACCCCTCCTCTAAGCCGAGGTAGATCCAAAATTTAAACTTCAGGGTTCAAAGTTTAAGTTCCTACCATTGCATCCATTGCACTTCCGAAAATTATGGATTTGGAATTTTATTTGTACTTCTCCAAAATACTAGGTACGGTTGAACCCGATAAATCAAGCTTCCATTCCAGGAACAACATGACTATAGATCAAGGGAGAAAGAATCTCTTGGATTCAACCGTAGCTCCTAGGCTCTTACTTAACCATTGTGCCATAGTGGCCTGCCACGGCCGACATCGTGCCATAGCAGCCTGCCACGGCCGACCTCGTGCCATGAACATAGGCATGCCACGCCCGACCTCGTGCCATAGTGGCCTACCACTCTCGACTTCATGCCATTGACATAGGCCTGCCACGGCCGACGTCGCGCCATAGTGGCCTGCCACGGCCGACGTCGCGCCATAGTGGCCTGCCACGGCCGACGTCGCGCCATAGTGGCCTTCCACGGCCGACGTCGCGCCATAGTGGCCTGCCTCGCCCGACGTCGCGCCATAGTGGCTTGCCATGCCCGTTCAAGCAATATTTTCCGACATCATATAGGCTGCCCTTTCTCTGCGCGCATCTGATATACACAAGGAATGCAACTTTCAGGTATCTTTGCAGCATTCAATTAACTGCAAATATAGACTGAACAACAATTTCAATAGAGAATTAAGCGGTAGTTCAGCTATACCTTATGCAATGTTGATCCCCAAATCTATCCCTTCACCTTCTCCCTACCCCAAGTCAGTCCCACCCCCACAGAAAAATTTTAGAAAAAAATGTAGCTTCAGCATCAAATTTACCAAATTTGATCAAGTACAAGCTGCTAGTTGAAAGCAAGAATCTTCAAAATAGAACCAAACGGATACTGAATATTTAACAAGCCGATTAAGCAGCTAGTTTATAATTGAGGAGTAGTAGTTGATGATTTTATACAAGTTACTAGGTGAAAGAATAATTAATGTTCAATTAAAAAGTATGGAAGTAAAGGAAATAAAAACGAAAACGAACCTTCAATGTAATCAAGAATTTGGTCCATAAAACCTATTTTTTTCTTGGAAGAAAAGCAAGTGACAGAACGCTTATAATCGCCATCTGAGAAAGAGAAAGAAGAGGGACTGTTTTTCCAAATTTTGCAGCATCGTAGACATGGAGAGAAGAATTGGGAATTGGGTTGATGCACAGAAAGAGATAAAGCTGAACTGGCCATAGAACTCCAAACGGTTGGTTTCTGTTATCAATCAGCTACCTCTTTTCCTAGAAAATTAACTGATTTTAAGACATTTTGTTTTTCTGAAAAATAGTCCTGTAAAATATACTCCCTCTGTTCCAATTTATGTGAACCTGTTTGACTGAGCACGAAATTTTAAGAAAAAATGAAACTTTTGGAATTTGTAGTCCTAAACAACTCAAAAGGGGGTCCACAGTGTTTATGTGGTTATAAAAGCTTCTCACTAAGGGTAGAATTGAGAATTTAAGCTAAATTGATTCCAAATTTAGAAAGGGTTCATTCTTTTTGGAACGGACCAAAAAGGAAATAGGTTCACATAAACTGAAACGGAGGGAGTAGTTTTTATTATAAAATTAGCTCAAAGTAATAATATAAAACAAGAAAATATAAAAGAAGGTAGGAAGCAAGAGAGCAGAGATTCAATTTCTTCCATATATTTAAGTGTATAATATCACTTCTCATCATCTATTTATAGTATTACATAGAGTTATACAAAAGAATACCATAAACATGACATTAAGTATTTGAGATCATATAGGAAGATCATGGGGGAGATTATGGAGGTATGGGAGTTACAACCATAAGTATTGGAGCAATGAGAGTTATGGAGATAATGGAGAAGAGTAGTGGGTGTTACACATCTAGGAGTTATGGACATCCACCATAATCTAATGTTTCATAACACTCTCCCTTGGATGTCTATAGATAATATGCCTCGTTAAAACCATACTAGGAAAAAAACCCATGGGAAAAAATCCTAGTGAAAGAAAAAGAGTACACATATCATGTAATACGCATTATTTGCTGCCTTATTAAAAAACCTTTCCAGGAAAACCCAATGGGATAAAATCTTAACTAAAGGAAAAAGAGTGCAGAGCATGATATACTCCCCTTGACAAAAATATCACGTGATATCTCAGAGACGATGAATTCCAATCTTGTATAACAACTTCTCAATTGCTGAGGTCGGCAAAGCCTTGTGAAGAAGTTTGTCAAATTATCACTTGAATAAATTTATTGAACATCAATCATATCTGAAATAGAATTTTGGTGAAATATGCTCTATTTTGTCTCAGTTTATAGCCCTTCTTTCAATTGAGCTATGCATGCAATATCGACTTCCATGCAATTGGAATCTTGTTGAATATCATAATATAGCAGTACCCTCACATGCAAATAGATTGTTTGAAGAAAGAACTCTAAAAAAATGTCTGTATTTGCAAAACCAACAAAATCTTGACAACATTTGTTAGAATAAACAAATCGACATCAAGGATTCCTTTTTTTTTTGAGGAGGATTCCTTTTGCAATATAACACTAATGGTATTTCAATATCTCCACATAGGAGTAAAACTATATCTTAAGCATACTGTTATACTCATGGTTTTAGCAAGATACATTAGTGCACCAATTGCACTACATAAAAATAAATCATGTACGCCATGATTGCTCTAATCCACATAAGCATTTGCTGAAGCTTTATTAATAAATTTCTTGGGAACTTTAATATGCTTCAGAATAGTTTAAATCCTTCAATAATTTTTATATGCGCATATAATTTTTTTTTTTAATTATTGGCAGACTAAAATCTGAAAGAATTTGCATCCACCACAAGAGAACATGTTTCCATATAATCAATGCCAGGACATTTACGAAAAATCTTGCGTCACCCCAGTGCTTTATACTTTCAGGTGTTAGGACTATCAGTCCAAACTTCACGTTTTTCAAGAGAAGTCAATCTTGATTGCGTATTTTTTTTATTAACCAATCATTCATCTGTCCATATTCTATAACAAATTTGAGCTCAAGATCCTCGTCAGTATTAATAAAAAGTGAGTTCTATATTATATTAACAACATCTTCAATGATTATTTTGCATCGGTTCCATCATCACTCAATAAAGACATAACTTATCGAGATCTCATTATTTTCAGGAACCTGAGTCTCTCCCATGAGGTCTTATAAAGCGTTATGTCATGGTGCTCTTATAAAGCATTTGCCTCCTTATTATGACCATCTTGAACATTTGCTCGTCTTCTTCTTCAAGGAATTTTATCTTTCGAACCGATTAGTCTATTACGCTTCATGCGTATCATAAACTCTATCCATCATGGACTTTATTCTATTTGGAGCATTAACAGCTGAAATATGATATTTAGCTTTGGGTCAGCAAATGCGCCTGGCAATATTTTGGAAATGAATTATCACTTGAACTTCAAGTTCAAATTTTCTTATACGAGGATCTAGATGTATTCATAATAATTCATTACACGTATCACTTTTTCAGCTGCCCATTTTCTCCCCCTAATGTTTGTAATGACCCGACTGGTCGTTTTGAGCAATTGCATCTGGTTCGGCAGTTTGATGTCACGAGTAGCTTCACACAGTGTATGATGACTTGTGTGCACCATCTGTTCAGGTTTTTGAGAAGTTCGGGAAGGATTTTTATAAGTGACTTTTATTTGAGAAGCTTGAAGTTGAAAGAATTGATCAAGATTTGACTTTGGGGTATTTGACTTCGGATTGGAGTTTTGATGATTCCGATAGGCTCGGGTTGTGATTTTGGACTTAGACGTACGCCCAGATTTGGATTTGGAGGTCCGTGGGTTGAATTGAAGCAATTCGGCGAAAGTTGAAAAGTTGAAGTTTGGAAAATGGAGGAGTTTGACCAATAGTTGACTTTTGTGATATCGGTGTCGGAATGCAATTTCGAGAGTTGAAACAACTCATTTATTTCATTTGGGACTTGCCTGCAAAATTTGACGTCACTCCGGGTTGGTTTGATAGGTTTCGGCACGAGTTTTAGAAGTTAGAAGATTGGAAAGTTCATAAGTTCGATTCTTGGTGAGATTCGGCGTTTCGGCATTGTTTGATGTGATTTGAGACCTTGAGCGAGTCCTTGTTAGGTTATAGAACTTGTTGGTATGTTTAGACGGGGTCCCGGAGGCCTCGGGTGTGTTTCGAATAGGCTACGGGTCATTTCCTTCTATTTTTGAACTGCTATTTTCTGCTATCTGGTTTCCTTCATCACGCTCGCGTCCTCGTCTTCGGGTTCGCGTAGTGTTAATTTAGAGGGTGGAATATTTATTCTTCGCGTTCGCATTCATCCTCTCGCGTTCGCGAAGTTCTGCCCTTTCCCTTCTTCGCGTTCGCAGCTGTCTCATCGCGTTCGCATAGTAGAAAATGGGAGCTGGGCACTGGTGACTACTTCCTCTTCGTGTCCGCGTCTTTCTTCCCGCGTTCGCAATGCCATCCCATCCGTCGCGTTCACGTATTATTTCCCACGTTCGCGTAGCCTAGTCATTGGACCATCAGATTTTCCTCTCCACGTTCGCGAAGCACATCCTGGCAGCCTTCATTTTTCCTTCTTTGCAAACGCGAGTCTTTTTCCGCGTTCGCGATGCTTTAGCATCTGGGCAGAGTAAATAGTACTCTATTCCGAGGGTTTGCCATTTTCACCATTTTTAGAGTTTTAGAGCTCGGTTTTGGGCGATTCTCTGTGGGTTTTTCAAGCAAAACGATTGGGTAAGTGTTCTTCACCTAGAATTTATTATATTCCATGATTTTATCTTTATATTTATCATTTAATTTGTGTTTTGAGTTGAGAAAAATGGTGGTTTTTTGAAGAAAGTTTCGAAAATTAAAAATCATGATTTGAGGGACGAAATGGTATTGGAATTTGATAATTTTTGTATGGTTGAACTCATATCGAAATGGATGTTCGAATTTTGTGAAATTTGTCGTGTTCCGAGGTGCGGGCCCGGGTGTCGACTTTTGGACCTATTTTTAGATTTTGATAAAGATTAAGGCTTTATGATCCAGAATAGTTTCTTATGTATTTTATTTATGCTTTGAAGTTATTTTGGTTAGATTTGAGCCGTCCGGAGGTCATTTCACCCGAGAAGTTCATTTTAGAGTACCCGTCTGTCTTCTTTGAGGTAAGTATCTTGCCTACTCTTGTGTGGGGGATTTTCTCTTAGGATTTGAGTCTTCTATGCTAATTGTAGTCCGTGTACGCGAGGTGATGAGTGTGTGCTCGGACTTATTTATGGAAATTGGCTTTTTAGGGTTCTTAGGCCCTTATATTCACTAAGTAGGAAGTTGTTCTGATATGATTGAGTTTCCTATTTGCTAGTTTCACATCAACATGCTCTATACCATGTTGGTAGTACTTCTTAACCTCTTACTTGTTATTTGGCCCTTATTTGCCTTAATTGAAGTGATTGCCTTCTTTATTGTTTTGTTACTTCTTATTTATGAGTTCCTCTATGACTTTGTGCATATATACTACATATCCAAATCACGTGCCTTATATGTCTTGTTATTTTGTAAAGGTTGTTGTATTTCTTTGATTTTTACGTGGTTCCCTTGTTACCGTGAACTCATACTCTTGGTTGTGGAAATTCTTGTAAATTGAGTAATTGAATTGATATTGTTAAATTAAATTATTGTACCGGGGATCGGGTTGCACGCCGCAACAGGTGAAATAAGGGAGGTGGTGGAATAAGGGAGGATATTTATATTGTGATATTGTTATTGTACGTTGGGATCGGGCTGCACGCCAAAACAGGTAAAATAGGAGTAGATTGTTATGTGGAAATAAGGGTGAATTATGATATTGATATTATATAGTGGGATCGGGTTGCGCGCCGCAACATGTTATGTTTATTTTGGGATATGATTGCATCACGATGTCTAAGGGTCTCCACGTGATCTGTTCCCAGGAGTACTCGTTCTGATATTGATGTTTATTGTACGGTGGGATTGGGTTGCACGCCGCAACATGTGGAATAAGGGTGGATTGAAATGGTGGAATAAGGGTGAATTATGATATTGATATTATATATTGTGGGATCGAGTTGCACGCTGCATCATATTTGTGTATTTGTACCCCCTGTTTTATTGTATTGGCTTTGGTTCCTTCTACGCAATTATGAGAAATTGGTATTTTTCGGGTTTTCACTATCTTTTTTGAGGATTTAGTTATTATCATTGACATTACTGCCTTTCCGTCATTTACTGAATCTTTTCCTAGTACTGTTATTC